CTGTTGTGGAGCGGGGGTTGCCCCAGGCCCCACACTTCTCAAGATAGCCCTGCCTTATGCATCAGGAATACTGGTCGTATCTCCAGTTGAAAACTATTTCTGGGGCATTTCATGTTTTCAGCAGAGCTGTGCACAAGCTGCAAAAGTGTATCTAAATCTAAACATCCCAAAGCCTCAGGTGCGTGTCCATGTGGGATCTTGATTCTGCCCCTAATGAACAGAGGGTCCAGACCCACAGTTCAGACTTAGACTTGAACATTCAGAGTTTGGGAATGTTCAGATTGGGGAGTTTGCTTCAGCCTCCCTTTCAGGTCTTTGGTACAAAGACAAGGGTCATTTGCAAAATTCAAAACCAAATCTAGATATTAAATGCTCATTAAAAGTGCAAAGAACATTCAGGCAGAGTGCAAGCATCAGACATGGTGGACATTGCAAGAGGGCCCTTAACCAGGCTCAATCTTAGATAATTTATTGCATTAAACCTTGAATTGAACCTGGCATCAAACCATGTAGCACCCATGAGAGTACCTTGCTCTTTTGCTGGTACAAGCTCCAACATTCTGGAGAGCAGAATCTGAGCTTTGGTTGAGACCTGCTCTAATTAGTAGTGAAATGCAGCAACTCTATGATGTCTTAGCAGTACAGAGGCTCCAAGCCCGGGCAGGAAATTCTCATAATTAAAGGGCTTGCTGATCTTTCCCTCTCCAGAAAATGACATTTGCTAATTACATCATTTTGATGTATATGATACCCAAACCAAACATGTTATAAATTAGCAAATGCTCATTTGTTTCATGAAAAAGTATTGTTCTTCTTTTATTCAATGACCTTTTTGTTCTTCTACATCCTGGACCAATCAAGTGCCGTTGCGGTGACTGAGCCTGGAGCACAGACAATAGCTTATTCCGTCTATTCTGTTCAGATGACTGTAGGAACGGGCAGCCACTTTGTCATGTGGAGACTGGAGGTTGTTTAAAACCCTTTTTCCCACCATTTAGTGAGAGTCTGAATCCTGAGAGGAAAACCCTGTCATAATAATAATACTCCACAGGCTGGAGTCCACTGAATTTTTCTCAGCTTTATGATTTGGGTGGGGTTGGAATGCAGCTCCCCCCAGCCCGAGCACAGTTTAATTTTGGAGATATTGCACTGGCATTTGCTATGTTTCCGGCATATGTTTTTTTCAATGAATTTCATGTGCAGTCTGCACACTATAAATCTAGTGCTGGCTGATGCCAAGACTCCATTCATTTTGATTACAAACTCTCAGGGGCAGGGCAGGTTTTTCTACCATATATCTGTAGCATGGCCCAGCACAATGAGAGCCTGTTCCTTGATAGGGGTTCCTCTGTGCTGCTGTCATTCAAATACATCAGATTCTTAGTTCTGCTTTGGTCATTTTAGGTTGTTCAGGCAATACAGAGTGGTCAGGTTCTGGGGGTATGTAGCCAGTGGAGAATTCTCCAGGAGGAGGGGAGTTCTTCACCTGGGTTAAAGTGCTAGGGCCTTTCTCTGCACCAGCAGCCAATTCCCAGAATAGGAAGTGGGCTGAGAGGCTGGGGAAGTTGTGGGGTGAAGATGTGGAGAGGCTTTTGGGGACCTTACTCTGGTGCCATAAATGTGCTCTACCTCATGCTGGGGTTGGGCAGGGCAGAACCTTTGCTGGTTTCCTGATGGCCCTCCCACTCTCCAGAGCTAGGGTTGCCAGATGGTTTCAAAAAAATACCGGACACACTTAACATTACATCACAATCTATATTACATCTTATTTAGAAAATACCAGACATTTATATTTTCTCAATTTGTTTCCCGAACAGAAAGCTCAAATACTGGACTGTCCGGTTCAAAACCAGACACCTGACAAACCTATCCAGAGCTTAGATACAAGGACAATTGAGCTCACTAGTACGGTGGAGGGAGAATATGAAATGCAGGGGAACCTGATTCTTCATGGCCTTCCATCTTGCATTGGAACCCAAACAAAGAGGGTGCAAGGATGCTACTGCTGGTATGTATGGAGCCCTCTGATGTGATAGCATCCCGTTGCACAGGTGTGAGTGACTACACCTCTTGCTGTTGCCCTGGAGAATCAGTTTTGGGTGAAATGTTACATGCCTCATTTCATTGCACTTCTATCCTTATTTGTCTAGTTAGGTGCACCAGCCACAGGCCAAGCAAAGGCAATGAGTGCATTGATGGAAAAGGCCACTTGACCCAAGACTCACAACTCAAAGTTACAGAGAAGCATGAGGAATTAGTGGGGAACCTGAGGGAAGAGCATGGTAAGAAGTGACAAGAGACTGGATTAATAAAATATAAGTTAACTGAGTTGCCATGTATCCAAGTGATTGCAGCAGATCTATAGCCGCTGGATTTTTTGTACAGGTATGTAGAGGGCCCTGAATTATGAATGCAGCAAGAGTTACTCATATCCTGTGGATTTAGAATGGGGCCTAAGGACTTTATTGTCATTTATAGTTTTTTTCTAATAAGTCCTTACACTCACTTTCTTCCTACATATCCCTTTGGAAACTAGCATGTACTATACACAGCAAGTGTTTATCTTCCTGCTTTTAAGACAGACGTCAGAATATTTCCCTCCTTATTTGTGCTCCATCTTTTCTCACAGTCCGATTATTTATGACATCATCATCCTTTCCTCCTCAGCTCCAGACACAGTGTTTCAGTGGCTACAATTTCCTGATCAAGAATTTCCAGCTCACATTGTTGGGGGAAGAAAGAAGTGTGTGTGTGAGGGGAGGGGGGGGTTTGCTTGGTGCTGAAGAATTAAATGAGAAATACAGCCGTGGAAAACTCAGATGCACATACACAGCAACAACAACTAAGGTTGTTATAATTAATTTAAAATCTGTTTACAAAAGATTCCTTTTATGTTGAACTGGCTCTGTAAGTGGCTCAAGAAGTATGAAAAACAGGAACTCAAACTGCCTCATTAGGAATTGACTCTGCTCAGTAATTAGTGGCTAGAAAACAAAACAAGGAAAAGCAGGTGGTGAGTGAACTCCAGGCAGCCAGCTATTTTATGATTTGAATGCTCATTACGGCAACAAAATGATTTTTTAGAAAAATGGTGGGTAAGATGATCACAAGAAACAAGATTTGAATTTTACATGTTTAATGTAAAATGCTGCCTGTTCAAAGTTACCCATTAACAGTTTTAGCTGTTCCCAGTCTGGAGTTTAATTTATAATGAGACAGTGCTTTGCTGTATTTTAAAAGACAACTCTGTTCTCTAGCATCTAGTGCCCTGCTGCTAAAATCAAGTTAAAAGTAATTAGTGAACGATATCATACTTTGCTGATAGAATCAGGCAAGATAACCCCAGACATTCATATCAATTATATTTCATAACAATAACCTGAGCAGGGCAAACACTGCAACCGGTTTCTAGCAAGTCTGTATTTTTAAATGAACTGGGTCATGCTACACTCAACTTTACTTGTGTTTGTTTTCTGTTTGCATGCACACAGTGGAGTTTTTTTTGGTACACATTTTTGCAAAAAGTTCATTTAGAAATGGTATGTATCTGTATGAATAGTTGCAGAAAATGGGTTTTAAATTTGTGAGAGTAGTCACACCAGAAGTGCTTGTGTGCTCATCCAGTCAGTGACCGTAACAATACCATGGGACTTTTCTGACTAATCACAACTAAGCCACACAACTTAAATAACAAATATCAGATACAGTGAATGGATCATTATCAGTCCACAGAGTTAAAAATATAATCAAAAATTAAAAAATCAGCAAGCACTTTCATATGAAGAATAAAAACAAGGGAAACCATCTGCTCATCGTTATCCCATTAGTAGAAAAAAGTAGCTGAAGTGCAATTTTTTTTGCTGGGAATTTTATTTCTCATGTCTCATTATAACAATTAATAACTGCTTATAAAGTCTCAGAAGGGTAGCCAAGTTAGTCTGTAACAGGAAAATCTTAAAAAACATCCAATAGGCTAGTAGCACCTTAAAAACTAACAAAACGTAGCTGTTATCATGAGCTTTCGTGGCCACAACCTACTTCATCTGAAGAAGTGAGTTGCACCCACGAAAGCTCATGATATCATCTACATGTTTTGTTAGTCTTTAAGGTGCTACTGTTTATAAAGTGTGATTATTTATATATTGTGTTGTTTTAGGTATACTCTCGAGATATAGTACATTCTTGTAAATACATTTTGATCCATTAGGAGGCTGGTGGCTTTGCACGATGAACTAAAGTAGTTAAACTGCATACAAGGAATATTTATTAGACTTTTATTTTTCAGAACAATGTTTTGCAGAGATCTGAATTGAAGAGGACTCCAAGAAGAGCCACGAAAATGATGAAAGGATTAGAAATCAGGCCGTATGGTGATGGACTCGAGGAGCTCAATTGATTTAGCTTAACAAAGAGAAGATTAAGGGATGACTTGATTGCAGCCTATAAGCATCTACCCAGAGAATAAGTATTTAATAATGGACTCGTCAGTCTAGCAGAGACAGGTATAACATGATGAATGGCTGAAAGTTGCACGATGCATTTCAGACTGGACATGAGAGAAACTGACCACTGGAACAATTTATCCAGAGTCATAGTGAAGTCTCTGTTGCTGACAATTTATAAAATATATGGTGTAGGAATAATTTTGGAAGAAGTTCTATGGCTTGTGTTGTACATGAGGACAGAGTAGATGATCACAGTGGTCCCTTTTTGGCCTTTGAATCTATATATCTAGGAAACAATATGTTTTCCACCAGTGAAACTCTGCACTGTTACATCATTTCAACCCTATAGATTTCAGTGGGGTAGAACCAGAATAGCTGAGTGGCTAAAGGGCACTCTCATGTCCTGTACACTGTCATTCCAATAGTAAAAACCTAGAGCTGGAAAGAAAGGGTTGGCTAGTGGTTACAGTAAGGAGACTGGTGCAATGACTTCTATGTTCTTGCTGTGTGGTCTCTTGGGCAACTCAATATCTCTGTGTAGCTATTTGTAAAATTGGTATAAATAGTAGTACCACACCTAGTAGTCAAGAAACAAGGAATAATTCATTCATAATTGCAAAATACTTTGAGATATTTGAAAGGAAGGTGTGAGGTAAGGAATTAATCAAGCTAATTAACTTGAGGGAACTAGGACTTGCTCTGGAATCTGAGACTAGAGCAAAATCCAAAGGCAAAATGTCTGGTTCCTATCACAATGCTCCATTTGTCTGCACAGTCACTGCACTATTGGGATCCATTTCATGCTTACGCAATGAGGCAAAATAGCTCTGAAATGGAAGGCACGTGCTATACATGTAGGTCTTGTGCTGCCCCTGAACAAAGGTGAATGGCATCTCAAGGGTCTGGGAAATGTTTTGAGATACTGTCTGGCAGAACACATGGGCTGTGTCTAGACTGGCAAGTTTTTCCGCAAAATCAGCTGCTTTTGCGGAAAAACTTGCCAGCTGTCTACACTGGCCGCTTGAATTTCCACAAGAACACTGACTTCCTACTGTAAGAAATCAGTGCTTCTTGTGGAAATACTATGCTGCTCCCATTCAGGCAAAAGCCCTCTTGCACAAATCATTTGCGCAAGAGGGCCAGTGTAGACAGCACAGTACTGTTTTGCACAAAAAAGCCCCGATGGCTAAAATGGCGATTGGGGCTTTTTTGTGCAAAAGCGCATCTAGATTGGCATGGACACTTTTCCGCAAAAAGTGCTTTTGCAGAAAAGTGTCTGTGCCAATCTAGATGCTCTTTTCAACAAATGCTTTTAACGGAAAACTTTTTCGTTAAAAGCATTTGCGGAAGATCATGCCAGTCTAGATGTAGCCATGGTATTTAACTTCTGGTGGAGGAGGAAGAGGATGAACAAATCTGCCCTGCAAGGGGTGGAGCTTTAAAACAGACACCAGTTGGATACATTACACATTAAATACAGAGAGCTTCTGAAATCACATGCTGCTCTCCATGAAACAAGATCCTTGTAGTTCCATTTGAGACTCACTTCATGTGTTCTAAAGACCACTGAAAACCACCCTTTTGAACAGAAGGATATTGTGTGAGCAAAGGAGACTGGGGATGAAGAAAGCACTAGAGCTATTGCACATGCTCCATGCTTCGGAAAGGTCTGATGTGTAATTGCGATCAATCCACAGAGTAAAAAAAAATGGAAAGATTGTCACTGAATACAAATGAATCTGAGGAGACCCAACATATCTAGAAGCAGCAAGAAATAATATCAGTTAATCAGATATATTATTCATTGTGAATTATTCGTTCAGCTGTAATAACTGCTAGTACCCAGGGTGAATGCTTTCCATGCTTCTGTATACATCGGTCGCCAAAAGTCATTGACTGGTAATGAGTATAAGCCATGTTCCCGGTTATCTTAATATAACATTTGTAGATGACATTTGTGAGTCATGAAAATGAAGGTTTAATAGCACTGGCTTGGAGCCATGTGTAGCATGAGCAGACTCTGCAAACCAATGCATTTCAGTTTGGATCAACTACTCCAAACCTTTTCTAGTCCACTAGTATCCCCCATTCAGCTCTGTCAAAGAATCTCTATCCACATTTGCAACAGTTCTACTAGTTCAGCCTTGGGGAGCACAAATGTTGCCAAATTTTGCTCTGTTAAGAATCATCCGTTAAGGGATAGATGGAGGTGATAATATCAGACTCCAGAAAGGCAAATGGTTTCATGGATTTTTATAAGCCTGGGAAAAGGCAGCTATAAAATGCTGCAAGGTTAAAAAATAAAATGTTCCTAAATTTGCATGTTTCCTCCTCATGTTCCTGAAGCCAGAAGTGACCTGTAGAATGGCTGGAAGAATCCTGCTCTGCTGTGTACACTTTTTTAAAAACTTGTTACATGAAACATTGTTTTTTTTCAATTTCAGGAAGTCTCTTGATGCCCTTTAGTTGATTTTGTTTTGCTTGTTATCGGGACAACTAATATTTTTTCCTGTTAAGGGAAAAAAAAGATTTTCCCAAGCAGATTAAAGATGTTTTTTAAGTATATGAATGGTGACATGGCTTACTTTCGTTGCTTTGTTTATTTTTAATAATGGAAAACACCTTAATTTATCGTAGCAAGACGTCCATCCTGGGGCAAACCTTGAATTGATTTTTTTCTTGCTGTTTTTGCCTTGTTTGTGGTTTCTTATCTAATGGAATTCTGTGGGTTTGTGAAAAATTGTGTGGGCTAAATTTTCATAGTGCAATGTCTGCAGAATAGGGGTAACAATAGTAACTTTTAGGGGGAAATCTCTATTTCATATTGTGATAATAGGACAATTAAAAATACAAGTAAGTGTATATAAACATCTCCAAGACATCTATACCAGACCTGTAAGGTTGGGTTAAGATACTCAACTCCAGCTATGGCAAATAGTAGCTGGAGTCAGCATACCTTAAGCTAAGCATAGCACTGTCTTTAAATGCCCCTGTTGGCTTCTCTTGCTCCTCACAACTGCCCTCATTGTTCAACTAGACCTGCTAAATCCAATGCCAGCTCACTCTCCAGTGTGACAAGCGAAGACGTGGCCTTAAGTGCATCCAACGCTTATGTTAAATGTTATTTAAATGTCCGGGCTCATATTTGTATATATTTTAAAATAGGTTCAATTAATGAAATTCAGATCTGCAATGGGGTAGCTGTGGTCTTGTTCCTCGAGCATATTACTAGGAGACAGCAAACCTATGCCTTGATTTTCCACTGCCTTGCACCTTGGGATATTATTTACTCCTTTCCATAGTAAGTAAAAATCACTATACAATCTGAATGGCAGTGTTATACCCCATCTTTACTTAGGGAATGCAAGGTGCAAGGCAGTGGGCAAATTAGGGTTATGGATTTTAGTTCTATTTCTGCTATGTAACTTGCTGTGTGACCTTGGGCAAGTCACAAGTTTGTTACCCTGTCTGAGGCTATATCCAGACTGCTTCTTTAGGAAGGCTTCTTTCGGAAGAAGTTTTTCCGGAAGAGAGCGTCCATACCGCAAAAGCACATCGAAAAAGCGATCTGCTTTTTTGAAAGATAGCGTCCACACTGAATGGACGCTATCTTACATTTCAGCTGCAGATCTCTCGAGACATCTAGATAGACTTACGTGTAGTGCTGGGGAGGAGCTGGTGGTCATGGTACATGTAGGTAGCAATGACATAGGGAAGGGTCAGAGAGGGGTTCTGGAGTCCAAATTTAGACTGCTGGGAAAGAGATTGAAATCCAGGACCTCTATGGTAGCATTCCTGAAATGCTTCCAGTTCCACATGCAGGGCCCAGTAGCCAGGCAGAATTTCAGCGTCTCAATGCATGAAAGGTATAGATGAGACGATGGTATAGAGAGGAGGTGTTTCGATTTATTAGGAAACGGGGGAAACTTTTGGGAAAGGGGGAGCATATATAGGAAGGATGGGCTCCACCTAAACCAAAATGGAACCAGATTGCTGGCACTTAATGTTAAAAAGGTTGTAGAGCAGTTTTTAAACTAAGGACAAGGGGAAAGCCAACGGGTGTGGAAGAGCACATGGATCGGACAGAGACATCTCTTAGGGGAAGGTCTATTTATAGAGATTCTCTATGTTCTAGTAAAGAAGAGAGGATGGAAGATGATAAAATATGGGTTAGATCAGATGAGAAACAAACAAATGAAAAAGAGTCTAACATCAGGAAATGGCAGATAAATAGTGAAAACATTTTAAAGTGCTTATACACAAACACTAGAAGTCTAAATAATAAGATGGGTGAACTAGAGTGCCTCATATTAAAGGAGGATATTGATAAAATAGGCATCACAGAAACTTGGTGGAATGAGGACAATTGATGGGACAGGGTACCAAATATATTGGAAGGACAGACCAGGTCGTGCTGGTGATGGAGTGACAGTATATGTGAAAGAAAATGTAGACTAAAATGAAGTACAAATCTTAAATGAACCCAAATGTTCTATAGAATATCTATGGGTTGTAATTCCATGTGCCAATAATAAGAATATAGCAATAGGAAGGAATATATTATCAACCACCTGACCAAGATAGTGATAGTGATGTTGAAATGCTAAGGGAGATTAGAGAGGCTATCAAAATAAAACACTCAATAATTGTGGGGGATTTCAACTATCCCCATATTGACTGGGTACACATCACCAGGACAGGATGCATAGATAAAATTTCATGATCCCTTCAATGACTGCTTCTTGGAGCAGCTGGTTCTGGAACCCACTGGAGTCCTAAGTGGAGCACAGGATCTGGTTCAAGAGGTAAATATAATGGGACTACTTGGAAATAGTGACCATAATGTAATAAAACGTAACATCCCCGTGGTGGGAAAAACACCTCAGCAGCCAAACACTGTGGCATTTAATTTTAGAAAGGGGAACTACACAAAAATGAAGAGGTTAGTTCAACAAAAATTAAAAGGTACTGTGACAAAATTCTGCAAGCAGCATGGAATTTTTTCAGACACCATAATAGAGGCACAATGTAAATCTATACCCCAAATTAAAAACATAGTCAGAGAATGAAAAATGTGCCACTGTCTGGCTAAAAAACCAATGGGGCCCCTGGACGATCAAGATACAAAAGGAGCAATCAAGGACAATAAAGCCATTGTGGAGAGACTAAATTATTTCTTTGCTTCAGTCTTCACGGCTGAGGATGTTAGGGAAATTGCCAAACCTGCACCGTCCTTTGTGGGTGATGAATCTGAGGAACTGTCCTGGATTGAAGAGTCATTAGAGGAGGTTTTGGAACAAACTTAACAGTAACAAATCACCGGGACTGAATGGCATTCACCCAAGGGTTCTGAAGGAACAAAATGTGAAATTGCAGAACTATTAACTTTGGTTTGTAACCTATCCTTTAAATCAGTTTCTATACCCAAGGACTGGAAGACAGCTAACATAACACCAATATTTTAAAAGGGCTCTCGAGGCGACCCTAGCAATTACAGACCGGTAAGTCTAATGTCAGTACTGGGCAAATTAGTTGAAACAATAGTAAAGAATAAAATTGTCAGACACGTAGAAGAACATAATTTGTTGGAAAAAGTCAACATGGTTTCTGTAAAGAGAAATCATGTCTTAATAATCTACTAGGGTATGTCTACACTACCACCCTAGTTTGAACTAGGGTGGTAATGTAGGCAACCGGAGTTGCAAATGAAGCCCAGGATTTGAATTTCCCGGGCTTCATTTGCATAAAGCCGGGCACCGCCATTTTTAAATGTCCGCTAGTGCGGACTCCGTGCCGCGCGGCTACACGCAGCACGGACTAGGTAGTTCGGATTAGGCTTCCTCGTTTCACGAGGAGTAACGGTAGTTCGGACTAGGAAGCCTAGTCCGAACTACCTAGTCCGTGCCGCATGTAGCCGCGCGGCACGGAGTCCGCACTAGCTGACATTTAAAAATGGCGGCGCCTG